ACCTGGTTCAAAGGAAGCTCGGTCCATGCCGTGACCTCCTCAGGATAGATGGCCTCCCTACTCTTCTGAAGAGCGTGGTTCGGCGACAACACGCTCCTGAACTCGCCTTGGGCTCCCGAGCCTGAGGACCCAGCTTGCGTGTAAGCAGACTCAAAGTAAGCGGGAGCCCCCGTGTAAGTAGCCTCGGCATAAGGGGCCCCTGTCGCTTCATGTACTGGAGGGGCCATCTCGGACTCCCTGGGCGGATCCACAGACGGGTAGTCTGGTACCTCGGGCTCCGCGTCTCGGGGCAGCTCGGCACGAGTTCGTTTGGCGACTCGCTTCCTCCTCTTCATGTCGTCAAACAAGTGCCCACCACGAGTCCTCTCTAGGTCCATCACACCTGCAAAATGAGCTCGGCATCAGAAAAAAAAAAAACGAAAGAACAGAACAAAACAAAAGACAAACCTCTGAGTAAGGAACCTACCCGAACTCAGACCGGCCTCAATGAGCTTGGCCTCCGACAGATAATGATGGCATTTTAGCCCAAGCCGTGCCCATTGCCGGAGGCCCTTCGCCGTCTGCTTATCAAGCGTAACACCGGCGTCAGGGGCGGCCATCCCCCACCCGATTTGGAACGGCCACCCCAATTCACTTCGCACCCCAAAGTAGTCTCGCTTCCACGCCGGGACCTTGTTGGGAAGTTCGTGTAAAAGCTTAAAACCCGGGCGAGGAGACAGGTAATACGCCCGCCTACGCCCGAGAAGGAGACCCACTTGCTTCTTAAGCATTAAAATGGAAGAGAAGATCTCCAGGTCTAAAGGCAAGCCCTGTTCGCAAAATAAGGAGATTGCCCCCACCAAATTACGAATGGAGTTCGGGTGAAGCTGGCCGACAGTAACGCCGAAGTGGTTCATAACCTCAACAATGAGGTGGTGGAAGGGCAGGCGCAACCCCGCAACGAGCTGCTCCCGGAATATCACGATCTCATCAGGACCATGTTCCCAAGGGAAACTGCCCGAGGGTATGAAGTAGGTGTACTCCCCAGGCAAGTTGAACTGGGTAATTAGGGAGTGAAGCCCCTCAGGCATCATGGTCGAGGGGCCAAACTTGTCTAACGTCCGACCTCGACGGGAGGAGGATGCCAAACTACCCGAGGCAACTCGACCTACGGGTTCGAACTCTTCCTCGAGCTCTACCTCCGGTTCGTTAGGACTGTCGAGGGATGCAACTCGGTTCGTAGAACCTGCATCTGACCCCTTGAAGAACTGTCTGAGCTATCCGAGCTAGACATCGGGAGGAGAAGATGGATTCCAGGAAAGTACTCACCCGGAAAAAGGCTTGAACGGACTATGGGAACTTGAACGCGAACTAAAAGCTTGAATGCGAGCTAAAGGCTTGGACGCGAGCTGAAACTTGGACGCGAGCTCAAGAAGCAAAACGCAGAAGTGACAAAGCGACTAGGGTCCCCCACTATTTATACCCATAGTAACCGAGAATCAACGGCTCAGATCAAAGCCAATCCGACGGCCCGCAATCGCGCTGACCGCACGTCTCCTGAAACCGAGACGTGACTGGCCACACATCTCTCGAAACTGAAAAGAGCGCCAGCGCACGTCTCCTCACGTTAAAGGCGGCAGCGGCACGTTTTTAAAATTTGAAAAGACGCCCGCTGACACGTCTCCCAGCGGCACGCTTTTTGAATTTTGAAATAAGGCGCGCGTTGTCACGTCTGTCAGCATTTATAGGCAGATTGGCGCGTTTCCCGTCTTTTTGGCGCTCGAGAAACCCGAAAGAATCCTGACAACGCGCACCTCGCACTATCAGTCAACCAATTCGAAGTACGGGACAAATCCACCCGCCACCTCGCGAACTCCCCGCGCCAGGGCAAGACCCTTATCACGAGGAATGGGGGGCAATTGATGAAGGAAGATTTGGCCCGACCTCGTAACCACTCAACACGTGGCAAAGGCAACAGCTC